GAGCTCCTGCAAGAAGGGAGAGGAAGGCAAGCTTTCTAAAACCAGGAGCCAGGCAGATGCCCCTGTCTGTGATGGTCATAAGAGAGCAGGACAGGTACTCTCTATGCATCTGTGCCATTACTGTGCCATAGTACTGTGCCACTGCTATAAAACACAGCTCTAAGGCTACTGACGCTTAAAAGGTCCTGTGACCTTTCATGTTGTGTGGCTTTATCCGGAGCTTACCTGAAAATTTCACGTACCTTGTGGCTTTCCTCCTACCTTCTTCACATCCACCTTCTCATGTTGGGCAGAGATGGTGTTGGTGGTGCGGTGGAGGGCAGTATCCAAAGGAGCTGAGCCTCATGCTTCTTCTGTTGCTTTTCTGTGGCCTTGCAGGAAATATGCTATCTCTGCATGCAGCAGGAGCAAAGAAAGCTCCGGGCTCTCTTGGCTGAAGAGGCACGACAGAAAGAGGAGGAGGAGGAGCGCCTCTGGACTGCTTATCAGGCTCAGAGGGCAAAATCTGACAGGGAGAGGGCTCAGGTATGTACTTGAAGCATCCTCCCAAAGAGCCGTTCTGTCTTCCAGGAGAGTGGCGTGTCAAAGGTATCCAAGTCCCAGGGCTATCATTGCCTCCAAAGAGCCAAGAGGCACTGTTGTCTCTCTGGCTTGCCTTGTCCCTGTGGGGAGGGAGGAGCTCTCAGACACACTTGGAGGACAAAACGAGGCTTCTACTGTGAGGAGGGTGACCCTCCCTTCCTTTGATTTGGGCAATCTCTAGAGGCCAGGGGAAGGATAAGTTTGAACCAGATGCACCAAGGTGCCAAGCTCTGTGTGGGCTTGCTACTCACTAGGCCAAGATGAGCTTGAGCAGAACAGTTATGCTGGGGAATTGTTTCTTCAACTTTCTAATTTCTGTAAGGGAAGAATTAGACCTTTGGAGCTCATGAATGAAGCTTTCAGTCTTTTCCTGGGTTTCCTCGCACAAGGGATGAAGCCTCTGATGATTGCTGTGCTTGAAAAAGAAGACTCCTGGGGTGACTGACTGCAAAGGGCTGAGCAGTCATAGATGCTTTCAGGCCATCCAGGGAAATTTCCTCTGCTCATCTGTCCACCTAAAAGGTATTCTCTTCTATCCTTGCCTAATAGCTGAGAAGCCGAGCACAGAACTTGAGTGCCCACAAAGTTCAAGTGTTCCTCCAGGCTGTAGCAGAGATGAAGAGAAAGGAGAAGACTGAATAGACAAGAGGAAATGGTATAAGAAGCATTTTGACAAGAAAGAGTCATTCCTACCCTGGTACTTTCCCTGGCTTTGAGAAATGTAACAGGCCACAAAACCTCAGAAATGAGGGCCTCTTGGCCTCTCTATCGAGCCTTAAACCTTAACCTTTTTTTTTCACTCCTTAGCCCTGGCGTGTAGACCTACCTACAGGACCCATGTGAAAGGGCCCAGCATTAAAAGCCATGCAGGTGAGACAAGATGCAAGGCAGTAACACATCAGTGAGGCAAGTTCACAGAATCACAGAATGGTTGAGGTTGGAAAGGACCTCTGGAGTTCATCTAGTCCACCTGCCTGCACAAATAGGGTCACCTAAAGCATGTTGCACAGGATTGTGTCCAGGCAGGTTTTGAAGATCTCCAGAGGAGCAGACTTCACAACCTCTCTAGTCAGCCTGTTCCAATGCTCTGTCAGCCTCACAGTCCAGCTTTACTCAAATTCAGGAAGAACTTTCTGTGTTTCAGTATGTGGCCACTGCCTCTTGCCCTATTGCTGGCCACCACTGGAGAGTTTGGCCCCATCCTCTTGACACCCTCCCTTAAGATATTTGTATATATTGATAAGATCTCCTCTCAATTTTCTCTTCTCTAGACTAAACAGGCCCAACTCCCTCAGCCTCTCCTCTTAGGCGAGATGCTCTAGTCCCTTAATCCTCTTCTCAGCGCTATGCTGGGCGCTCTCTGGTAGTTTCATATCCCTCTTGTGCAGGGCTGGCCTGGCCCAGAGCACACTACCGTGTCCCCACGGAGGGCTGTGTGTGGAAACACTGCCGGGGCTGGGGTCAGCGGTGCCCCTTGCAGCAGCTGAACTTTCAGCAGAGAGATGAAATGTGTTTCCCAGTGCTCAAACCCCCTTAAAGATGCTGAATAAAGGCTGTTGTCACTAGCTGGTGTGACTGATTGGGCCTTACAACGTTAGCCTTTGAGATCTGGATTAGTGCAGAGCTGTTAGGATTCCCCTCTCTTATTTCACAGTTATGGCCAGGAGCTCCATAATGCCGCTGTGGCAGTGTTGAGGAGGCAGTGGGAGTTCCTCAGGGTTATCCGAGATCCTCAGCGTGAGTTTTCGGTCAGAGCAGGTGCAGCATTTCCATGGCAGTGGCCAGCCAAGAACACAACCACAGCACGGAGCGCATGGTGCATGTCTGTCCCCAAGGGGCACTGAGTGTCCTGGGCTTTCGCTTGTGGCCCTATGCTCACTGCTACTCCGTTGTCCTCTGGGAGCTGTTTGGCCAACAGAACAGCTGTAAAATTCTTGTCCTCATGGAGAGAAAGGCAGTTTCATGAGTTTATTTTCAATTCTGGGTAACGGCCAAGTGCCTGGCTCCCTGCCTGGCCCCTGTTGCTTGCACAGTGCGTTTTGCCCAAGTACTTTCCTGACTCAGCTATATTTGTGCCTGCGGTCTGTAGGAGGGTACCTAGGGCCTAGCATGGTGGCTGTTGGGGGGGGGATAAGCCACCCTTGTGCCCCTTGGCAGGGGGTGCTGCCTCTGTGGCTCCAGCTGCCACAAATCAAGGGGCCACATGGGGCAAATCCCATTACCTAGGACATGTAGGACACAGGGATTTTTCCTTCTTTTTGGCACACTGGAAGAAAGAGCTGGAATGAATGTTAAAACAGAGCTTTATTGGCTTCTATATCTGAAAGGTACCCTACATAAGGCAATAGTTGTGGTATGAAGACAGCTGGTGCCAGCAGACAGCCCCTCCACCACCTTACGTGAATGCTGGGTGCCGAAACGCTGAAGCCTTTCAGCCAGATCAGAAGCAGCGTGAAGCCTCCTAAGCATCGGGGTGGCCCTGCTGCAGGTGGTGCATGCGAGGTGGGAGCTGTGGGCCTGCGCAGGGAAGAGCCACCACTGTGGAGCTGGTCCCTGTGGCACCTGCGCTGTGGAGAGGGGAGGGAAGGTGGGTGAGGCCTGCAGTGGTCCAGAAGGTCTGTGCAGGTCATCAGGAAGAGTTGTCTTCTCCCCTGGAAGCCTTCAGTAGTGGAGCTCAGCTTCTGAGCACCATCAAGCTGCTTGGGTTGGTAACTCCTTGACCTGGAAGGACGTACCGAGCAGGCCAGGGACAGGGCTGCCAATGTGTCCAGCTTTTCTGGGGACACTTCTCACGGTGTCCGTAGGTCCATAGATGAAGAATGGCGAGTGAGCGCAGGGGACTGCCAGACGCGCCACTGAGCTGGGAGTGAGGGTGTGAGGGCAAGCAGGCACCTCTTTAGTGGGGCTCAACTGCCCTTTGGAGTCTCCTGTGGACCACACAGGGGCTTCATGTATAGCCACATACAGTTTGGCCTGACAGCCAGGCTTCCAAGCCAGCCTTGACAGGACTGGGGTCTTTCAGTGGGCTGAGGACCTGCCTCCATTAGGATTCAAAATGTGGAAATGTCACAGGTTGCTTTGATTCTCATACAGACTGTGAAGGGTGGTAAAAGGCTTTGAGCAAGAGTGATCCAAAGCTCTAGCAAAGAGGCATTTTTGTGCGTGGCCCGTTCAGTACAGCAGGGATATAAGGCGAGCTGTGGGCTGCTAAGGCCTTAAGAGGGGATGTTGTATTTACATAGTCTAATTAAGGCCACACTGCCCTCTAATCTCCCCACGACAGTTCTGAGCACCTGTATGGTTCAGGGTATCTTGTGTCCTGTCTCTTTGCAGCTGCACACATTTGTGGCTGTTTTGGTGACAAATATTTTGCAACACTTCACAAGACACCACCTTCTGCATTCCCTTTCAGTGCTGTAACGATTCGCTAGCCAGGGGTTCATCCCATGACATAACTGGCAGATTTGGTAAGCCAAGCCTTGTCAATTTAAAACCTGCATTTAAAGAGCAGAATAAACTTTTCAGTTTTGTTTCATGATCTCAATACTTTGACGAGTGTTTTTCTGACCAGTGGAAGAAAAAAAAAATCCACAAAAAGAACCCTACAAGTGGAAACCCTACTGATATTCCCTGAGAATATTCACGGCATATTGGTACCAGATATGGAAGGGCTGTTGGAATAATCTTGTGTATCCGGGGGTTGCCTTTGGAGCACGATAGTAACAAGAACAAGCCTTACAATTACAGATCACCATCACAGCCTGCAAGGGTTTCTCTAAAAGAAGTTTCTGTTTGAATTCCAGCTGTGTTCATGTTCCTTGTCGAAGGATTTTGGTGTGTCAGTGGAAGTGTGAGGGGGGAGGTAACCCAGCAGTAACTACAGCTGTGGGGAGGCTACTATCAGCGTGGCAGGTTTTTGAGAGGAGGCCCTGTAAGGTGCCAATGGCTTCAGGATGGCAGCTACTCCTGGCTTATGGGCGCCTTCCTGGCTGGGGATGAGTGCCATGGATTGTTGCATTTTCTAGCACTCTGGTCCCCATCCACTATCCATGCTTTTTTGAGAACCCTATGAATACTTTCAGCTAGGTGCCCCTCTGGAGGACTCCTGCCACTTGTGAGGATTGTCTTCCTCCCTCTCTACCTGCTGTTCCACAGCCCAAGGGGTTATATTTTCAAATAAAGGAGAGACACTGCAAAGGGGATGACACTGGCTATAGTGGAGGCTATAGTGCTTTATATAATGGCAAAACCTGCAGTGTAGACTGACCATGCCACGCGGCAGTTACAGTATCTCTCCTTTGAGTATTGAGTGCCCAGCATTGGCTCTGTTTCCTGTTTTATTCCTTGATGTGCTGCCACAGAGAAAAGCCAGCAGAAAGTTAAAAAAGAAAGAAAGAAAAAAATTGGCTTCAGTTGCGTTTATCATTCTGCAGCCCAGGAGGTGCATTTATGTCAGCAATGATGGAAACTGATGGAAATGATGGAAAAAATAGTTCTCATGAAAAGCTTAGACATCTTGCATTTGCATGGCTGTGGTAGGCCACCTGTAATCGTCAATAACAAATGAATCGTAGTCAGGACTGTAAATGTGCTGTCTCACAAAGGCTTCCTTGTCTGCTGGCTCAGGGTACCAAGAAGCAAGGTCATGTTTGTAGGCCCAGTCAACAACCTGCAAAATGTAAGCAAAAGAAGGTGAGGAAATAATGTTGATACGTTTATTCTCAAGCCCAGTCGAAAGCAACTGCAGCTCAGCCCTAGACATACTTTTTCTTTTTTTTCTTCAAAATTGTGACCTTTTTTGCTCATTTCTCTTTGTGCAATCCTCTGAATCAGCAGCACTTCAACTCTTGATGAATAAAAAATGCCTGTAGGTAGTTATTAGCTGCTTAGAAATACGCTCCCCTGCCTTACTGAAATGGTTGCAGTGTACAATTGGTGAAGAGCCCTTTCACCACCACCACCCACAGCCTTAGCTCCTTGCATACTCTGTGCATCTTTCAGCAACTCTCACAGGCCAATGTGAACCTTAGTGGGTGCTCTATGCCCTGGGAAGCATGCTGCTTTTTTGGAGACCTGAACAGGAGTTATGGATTAGGTGTATGCAGGATAGAAATCTCCAAATTAGACAAACAAGTCCAGATACAAAATCATATTTAGGTGAATAGATGCCTGTCAAAATCAAAAGAAGGAGAGGTTTCACAACAGCATTTTGAAGCCTGAAATTTTCTGGCAACTTGCTCTGTATTTGACGTTAACCTTAAACCTGATTTCTGGTCCTGAGCAATCACAGCTCCAGGTGGCAAAGCAGAGCTTTGTGACATACTCAGATCCAGAAGGTATTTTTCAAATGATTAATGATAGGAGAAATGGAAGCAGCAATTCTGGCATGAACACAGAAGGGTTCCTGAGAATCATTGCTTTAGGCTACAGTGTAAGTAGAAATAAAAAAAATCACAAAACAAGATAGGCAATTCCCATCCTCTCTACCACAGAAAGTGGAAATAAATGAGTTCTTACTTTCACAGCGATTTTGAAAGACACCTCTCTGATGCTATCCAAGGGGGGATATAATCTTCCTTCTGCAAGGTTCTGCTCTGTGACCTCAGCTGCGATAGACTAGAAGAGGAGGAAGGTAGTTACAGGGATGATTTTAAGAAGGTACCACATTTGCCAGTATTAAACACTGAAAGGTATGAAGGATGGCAGTCATACAGCATGAAGGGAGCCCTGTCACAGCAAGGGCAAGGACAAGCACCTTTGTACCCGCAATGCAAACATAAGCCTTCCCTGAGAATGGAAAAAAGCTACAGCCTTTTGCTGAGACTGTGTAATTTCCACTCAATGGATTCCAGAAAATGCCTCAAGTAGGTGCACGTGCACCTTATATATATATATATATTTTGGAAACAGTAGTCAAATGACACTTGGAAACCTCTGCTGTGGTGAGGAAGATGTCATCAGGGATGTGCCGGACCCCACAAGCGATGACTCCCAGTGCCACTCCTGGGAAGACGTAGGCGTTGTTTCCCTGGCCAGGGAAGAAGGTCTGGCCGTTGGGCAGGGTCACCTTGGAGAATGGACTCCCACTTGCAAATATTCCCCGGCCCTGATCAAAGAGAAAGAAAGAGGCATCCAAATGTGGAGGAGATGTTTTATATTTGCCCTCCACAATTTGCTCGCAGAGGACAAAGTGCCACTTCTCCGGGCAATCAACAAGAAGTGTCTCCATCAGAGACAGCCCTAGGTGACATTCCTTGGGGGCCTGGTCACCAGAGCTGTGCAGAATGGGGCTGCCAAGCACTCAGCAGGTGTTTGCACTGCCCACCTGCAGGTGCTCTGACCCTGCTGCAAAGTTGTCTCTCTTCCTATTGACCCTTTGGGGTGCTCCTAAAGTCTAGGTTAGAGGCCTGGGGGCTGTGTCACTGTCCTAACCAGCAGCACTATGACAGGGAAGTAGGAGGTGGGGGCAAAGTGAAGATTGAACCAAGGCCACCTCACTCCCCCAGGTCAATACATACGGCAGTAATTCTTGACTGACACTGGGTTTGAGTTGGGTGACAAAACTGTTACACAAACAACCAGGATGGTAAAACACAAGGGAGAGTAACTTGCGGGGGGCTGCAGGCAAGGGAAGGGAAGGAGCTCCTTCCTTTATAGGATCACTAGATAATTCAGGTTGGAAGGGACCCCCGGGAGGTCTCTAGTGCAAACTCTTGTAAAAATCAAGGTCAGCTCAGAGGTCAGACCAGGTTGCTCAGAGCTTTATCCAGCGGGTATTTAAAGACACACAGGACACCGTAAGCATAACCTTTCTTGGCCCTGTTCCACTGCCAGACTATCCTCAGGGTGTAAGCACTTCTCTTTCTAACCAATGTGAATCTCTAATTTCAAATTATTCGCCTTGTCTCTTGTCCTCCCCCGTGCACTGTTTTGCTGTCCCTTGTACAGCCAGGACCAAGGTGTGCTGCGAGCCCCCGGCTTCACTCTGCCAAGTACCTCGGTGAGGCGATAGCACTGCTCCGCCGTGCACTCCGCTTTGCTTGTGGGGTTGCTCAGGGCAAAAATGATGGGTCGCTCATTGAACGCTGCCATGTCCTTTAAAATCTTCTCACTGAAAGCTCCTGCAATGGCTGCGACACCTAAAACAGTAACAGCAAAGTGAGAAGCTGCTTTCTGACTCTCTGACTTCAGTGTATTGGGCTGATCTCCCTGGAATGCTAACCAGACTGCAGCAAGGAAAAGGCTTCATCTCTGAAGATGCAAGTAGGAACGTTTCATCGTCATGATACGGTGAGATTAAAATTCCCTTCTCTGCTCTGCCAGGCAGGATGGAGACCAGTGTTTGGGATGGCCTTGCTGCAGTGCTTAGCACTTGCCCTCCCAAAGAGCTGCCTGGGGTACTTGCCATCACCTTTGTCCTTTCTGGGCTGTCTGCACCGTGCTTGGTGCTGAGAGCCCCAGATCCTACCTTGCCTTGACAAGTCCCTTTGCAGACCTGGCTGTGAGCATTTCTAAAGGTTCAACAGAGAAGAAGCCTGTGCCTAAGGCATAGTCTAAGGGAAAAGGATGTGGGGAACTCAGCTGAGAAAATGAGGGAAAAAAAAAAAAAAAAAAGCTCCATGTGTGTTGAGGCCCTGTAAGCAAGCAAGAAATTCTCCATTGATCTGAACAGTCAAAGAAAGGTCACATTAAGGGAAGTCCACCTATAATTGCTGTAGGCTTCACTTTCTGCACAACCTCCTCCAGCGTGTTCACACTGGGGTGGTCCTGAGCAAACATCTCTTTCTCATGGTTCAGGTGGCTCCTCCCCTGTGAGGGAAAAGAAAGTCAAATTTAGGGCTGCTGGCAAAAGCTGGACACTCAACTAGTAACTTGTCAGTTCATTCCTTTCCCCAGCCCTGTTCTTTAACCAGGCTCCTCCGAGCAGCCAACCTGGCACTGAGTACCTGATATAACAACATGTGGGGCTTGCCTCTGCTTCTGTGCCCCCCACCAAGACACAACACTTGTGTAGAGGAAGGATTTGGCTGGCAAAGCAGAGAAGATGTGTAAGTAACACAGTTTCCTTGAGTCTGGGGAGGACAAGGACAGAGGTCCTGGGGATCCAGGGAGGGCAGAGTAGAGCTCATCAGACTGGAAGACAAAGTAGGGCATAACCCAACAGCATTGATGTTGTAACACCCTGTGTGGCACCTAATACTTCTGTCACTGTTTGATAACCAGGGCCATCTAGTATTATAAGACTGTTAGCCCAAACTGCTGCCTCTAGGAGAGTCAACTGTTGGACCCCTAAGAACAGAGGCAAGGGTAGACCTGTTGGCCTTGGCAAAACTACAGCCCTTATTGCAGGGCTGAGCAGTGTCTCTCTAGGAGAGTCAACTGTTGGACCCCTGAGACCCAGTCCTGCTGAGAACAGGGGCAAGGGTAGACCTGTTGGCCTTGGTAAAACTACCGCCCTTATTGTGGGGCTGAGCAGTGTCCGAGGCATCTACCTGCCCTGGCCTCACCAAAGCCTGTGGGAAGTGCTGGGGAAGTGTAGCTAAGCATTAGAGACACATTTACCTTGACAATCAGACCCTTTGAGTCCACCATCCAGATTTTTCTGATGGCATCCTCTCGTGAAATTCCTTCCTTTTCCATGGCCATGATGATGAGATGAGCTATGCCCATTGCAGCCTGGAACAGAAAAGCAGTAAACAAGCACCTCCCTGGGGTAGCAACGTCCTTTGGAGAAAGCCCGCAGAAATGAGAGTCCTGCACCTGCACTAGACAGGTTTTCAGTCCTTCGAGTCCAAATAATTTTGATTCTACTATTAAAGAGGATCTATTTTCTCCTAAACACCAACCCTGAGGACCCAAAGCAGTCTCCTTGAAGCTAATGCAGCACCCTGACTCATAAGGCACTGTCTCCAAGTCACATTAAAACCCCACTGATATATGGGCAGCCTCAGAGCATCCAGAAGGTCTGTCCAGGACTCTCAGGAAGGACTCGCTGAGATTGCTGGCAACTTCTGCACAGCAACAAGACCCATCTGTGGGGCCCATTCCTGCCCGATGACATGCCCTGCTTCTGTGGTTTGTCTTCATGAAGCTAAGCCTTACAAAAAGTTTCATGGATGATTTTTCTCTAAATTTGAGTTTATGTAATATTTAGGAACACACTCAATAATGCTCCTACCTCTCCAGCCCCTTGGAAAACAAACTTATGGTCAGAGAGCTTGTTCTTTGTGATCCGTAAGGCTGCAAAGATGCCAGCTACTGCCACAGATGCAGTGCCTGAAAAGACAGAAACACCATGAGATGGTCATCCTGGCAAAGGGATAGTCTACCCTACTGGTATGCTGTTAGAAATCTTGTGGTAGGAACCCTTCTCTTAAGCTCTGCCACTAGAGAATCTGAGTTTCCCTGCTTTGAAATATTTATCCTTAGAAGATGCCCCAAACCCTTTTAGGTTAAGAAGCCTCCAGCATTTCCTATTTTCTTGTCCATCCAAATGTGCAGGGCTTTAATCAGCTAGTGCAGCCCAGCCAAGGTGCTGCCCCGCATCAGCAAACCCACCAGCGAGCTAAGCGAGAGCAGCTCATGACCATGAGAAGTGAAACCGGTAGATGGTGCTGCTACATATGGCAAAGATTTGGAAAAATAACTGAGCTTTACCTGCTCTTTTTATTTGGTACAAAAGCCACGGCTAAACTAGAAACCTCCTGAAGGAATCGCTTGAGAGACACATTTCACAGAGGATGAATTCCCTTCATTGACCCAGGAAACAGTTTGTGTGGGTTTATTACCAGACACAGAACATCTGGGTTCAGTTAGTTTAAAGGGCAGCACGGGAGAGAACCAGCTGCTGAGTGCTCTAGTGCTTCAATATTAATATCTGTCGAGTCAGACAACTGAAGGATGTGTGTGAAGAATTTCCTCTTTTTCCCATACTGAATCTGTCTTTTAAAACCATATTTAGAGTAATATATCTACCCGGCAAAAGACCATGCCATGTGAATAGAAAGACTACAGAGGAAAACGATGAAGATCCAAGGAAATCAGAGCAACCCCCAAAAATTGCCTAATTTTTAGATTTTGCTTTCAGCAGATGTCGCATGCCTACTTCATGCTCATTCTTCACTTTTGCAGGCTGAGCTGCAAAAAAAGCGGGAAGAGATCAAGATCCTACAGTCATCAGCAATGCCACCACCCTTGTGACACGGAGCAGGAAGATCGTGGACACCTACCCATATGCACGTGTACAGTGGGGCACTATCTCCCCACGCTTCTGCAGCTGTGTCCACCTCTCTGCATGGGTCGGACGGAATAGAGGAAAAATATATAGCAGTGGAACAACTGCAGCAGGACAACCCTAGCCTGGAGAGAGGTCACAGCATTAGGATCAATATATGCCTGGAAAAGATTTAAAAGAAGAAATGTAACTGGGGAAATGTCTTGTTTCTCTTGGTTTTCTCCCAGGCAAAACTGCTTTATACCCTGTGCTTGTTGAGTCTGTCGGGACAAACGCTGGTTTCTGTCTGAGTCTGCAAACGCATTTAAACAAGTGGAAAATGTCTGTGGCTCATTTTGCAGAGGGACCACGAGTTCCTTTAAATACATTACGAGGAAGCATTCGAGGAGGGGGTGCGTGGACTGCAGCCTGCGCCGCGATATGCGTTGACTTGATGGAAGCCTTGGGACAGGGTGTGCCGTTACTCATCCCCCTGCGCCGGCATTACAGACCTCGCTAATAACAGCAGGGCTCTGTTCAGCTCTGCCATTCCTAATAATACTTCTTTCTCCCTCACCAATGTGTTTCTAATCCTTCCATGTCTCCCAAACTGCAGCTCACCCCCATTACTCAAGTAACAAAGTTACTGTACCTTGGCCTCGGTTCAATATTTTTCTTTGATAATTACAATTTCAGAGCATGGAACAATGGAGCATCTCCGGGAGGAGAGTTCACAGCTGGTTTGTATAAGGAATTGGCTAATCTGTGTGCTTCACTTTTAAAAAGACCACAGAATGAGATGGGGAAAAAAAAACCTGTCACTATGAGTTGTGGCAAGAAGAAAACAAGCAAATCTCTGTTTTTCCAATGAGATTGAATGCCCTTATTGCAGATAACTACTTCCTTAAGCAATTAGGAAGAGCCAGCTTGGCTGGTGTGTATCTATCGGAGGTGGGGAGGAGCTGTGGAAGGGCACAGAGAGAAGAAAGGAAATTCATCTCCTTTCAAGACTCAAGATAATATCACAAAAGAGCAAGCAGGTCTCCGGATCGTCTCAGGGAGTCCAGAGAAACAGGGCTATCAAAGAGAAGAGCCATTTAAAATTAAGGTGCATTCAAGAAAAATGGCAGTTCCAGTAAGAATTAATCTGTAAGTCTTTGCCCCATTCAGAATATTGTCAATGTAAAGAAAAAAGAAGACCAAACATTGAGACTGATTTTCTACTTACACTAGTGCAAGTCAGAGCAAGTCCCATAGATGTCAGTGGAGCTACACTGAAGCAAAACCAGGGAGAAAGGATCTGCCTCACAGCTTCAAGACAAATGGTAAAGGTGAGGGTAAATGGTAAAGGGGACGTGGATGGAAACAGGGACACTGGGCATGTTTGGGAACAGGATTTCCTCCTCATGCTGAGTTGCTGCCCTGTTGACCCGCATCGTGCCTCAGTGGAGCAGAGTATCTCTCATAGCATGGTGGGCTGACAGTATGGCATGGAGAGCAAAAGAACTTTCCAATAGCTGTGAGTGGTTCAGGACCCAGAACCAGCAGCTGGACGAGCCGACTTTTCCGATGGCAGCTGCGATCGGAACAGGTACCCACACAGATGTCCCTTTCTTTACACGACCCCATGCAGGCAATATAGCACACTGGGGGAAGGGATGGCCAAATTCAATCCCACCTAATTTTAACCTCTGTCCCTCCTCCTTGTGCTGTACACCATCAAAATAATGCCAAAGGTAGGGCCCAGGGAATAACAAACATCAATTTAACAGTTCCAGCAAAGGGCAGCCAAGAAAATATATCTAAATTTATGGATGCAGCATAGAGCTTTTCCAAATCCTGGTTCCCATTAACTTCCTGCAGCAGTTGTCATTCAGCTGGCTACTGGAAAGCAAAGTGGACCTTGTCCAGATGAACTCCAAATGCATCATCAAAGGTCAAATACAACAAAGCTGAAGTAAAGAGCTGCTAAAGTGTTTGCAGATCAAGGCCTTTACCTCCATGGGTTTGGACTATTGTTATCCTTCCCTCAAGAGACCTCAGAAAGTAAACCTAGAAATGGTATGGACCACGTGAAGGAAAACAGCAGTGACAACTGCATGGCACCAATGGTCAGGAAAGGAATTCACTTTTTCCAGCAGCAGGTTTAGGAGCACTGGTGACCAAGAAGACGTTCTCTGGATATGGTGGTATGATGAAGAGCTGTCTGACAGATGCTCAACCTAAAACCTAATGAAAATCAAATGAAAGTCATCTCTAGTCACCTATTTCTCTCTTTGCATTGTAAAGTGCTTGCCTGTAAACTACACTGCTTCAGAATTATAATATTGGTATTATATTATAGATATATATATAGACCAGTATTACTACCTTCAAATGGAGGTAGGGCTGAAGCAGGGCTGTTCTGCACAGACTGCCAGACAACACATACATCGACTTTGGGTTTGCAACACACTGCACTGTGCCAGCAGACTGAACTCCATACATTTATGTTAGTTTATACAAGTTTATATGAGTCTAGGAGCTGGCCCTTCAATAGTTAACTGTAATACTATCAAGGGAAAATGCAGAAGTCTCTTCTGCTGGGCACAACACGTCCAAAAGGGTCTTGTAATGGTGAATCCCTACAGGACTGAGAACATTTAGCCTCAGTGAATCCCTGCAGGGAAGACGTGCTGTTCAGGAGCTGCCTGGCAGGATGTGTCCTGCTTTGTTCTGCAGCACGGTGTCTTCCAGCGCTCCCTTCCTATTGGGCTCCTCTCCCCCCTCCGCCCCTCCTTAGTTTCCTATGATAATTATTGATGCATTTTCCACGCCAGCTGAAACAACAACAGAAGATACTGTACCATTTTAAGCCGCTGAAATTACTCAATGCGTTGCCAAAAAGCTAGGCCTGCTCCTCAAAGCACGCTGCAATGTGTCTGCAAAATGGGCCATGTTTGCACAGGATTGCTTTCCAACCGCCAAAGCGTTTGAAGCCACTCGGATTCGTGATCCTGGAGTCTGGCTGTTCTTAACCCCTACAAGGACCTGGGAGCTGTACTCTTCTAGGCTAAAACACTGTTTCCTAAAATGATATGGAAAAATTATATAAAGATTATCTTTTAATCTTTAGGGTATCTGTATCTGATAAGGGTGCTTGGTGGTTCTAGAGACATTATGAGACTGCAGTAGTCAAGGATCCAGGAAAAGAGGAGCCATTGCTCTAAGGACTATGAAAAGACTCAGGTTCTGTGGAAGGGAATCATCTGTGCATAGTTGATAGCCCACATTAGTTGCAGAAAGAACGGAAATATAGAGTTTGGACTTTTTAAAAGTTGCTAGTGATTAACATTTCCCATCTTAAGTCACCCTGAAGAAGTCGCATTTACAGGATGCGGGTGTTTTCCTAGTCTAGTCACAGAATCTCCAGCTGGATACGGAGAAATCTGTAGCACTCAAAATCTGTGGTCCAAGTTAACAACGCAAATCACACATAAGAGATTCCTTTTCTTCATTTTCCTGCAATTCTGACTTAGCTGGCAGAATGACTTCTGTTGAGTCCAGACAGAGACTCCTACTGATTCTTCTGGGTCTGCCTTGCACATGTTGGAAGGCTAAGCTAGAATTAGTGGGCCTCTTTGCCACAAAAACAGTGAGGCATGTGTAGATAGAGCCCTTGTGCCATGCTGAGAACTTCAGAAATCTCCTGTCTAATTCAGAAGGAATTATCCAGCAGATAAAATTCTGCAAGACCCGCTGAGACGCATCTGATGATACTGAGGGATCTGGTCAGTGTCATTGCAAGGTTATTTTTACATTACATTACAAGGATCCAGGGAATTACAGATCAGTTTAATCTCAATCCCTGGGAAGATTATGAAGCAAATCCTCTTGGATGGTACATTGCAGAATGCGAAGGACAAGACAATGGTTGAGGACAGCATGAATTTCCTAAGGCAAACCATGTGTAACCTAGCTGACCGTCTTCCATGGTGAGATAATTTGCTATGCAGGCAAGGAGTAGGTGGTAGGTATTGCTTTTCTCAACCCGCACAAGACCTCTGAAGTGATCTTTCATAGCAAACTTGCTGTCAATTGAAGAGGGACAAACTAAGTGGACTGTAAGGTTGTCATGAGTGGTATAAAGTGCAAATAACAGTTAGTCATACAGAGATCAATACTGAGGCCGATACTATCTGTCTATTAATAAGCTGGATAACAGAACAGAGTGTACTCAGGGGAGCTCATGGATGGTAACAATTTGGGGTAATGACTGAAACAGCTGTCACTTAGAAAGACCCCAACAGTCTGGAGAAATAGCCCCACAGGAATGTCAGGTCAGCAAAGACAAATGCAAAGTCCTGTACCTGGGAAGGAATAATTCCATGCAATAGCACAGACTAGAGGATGACTGATGGCAAGCAGCTTTGCAGAAGAGGTCAAGATGGACAAGTTGAAGATAAGCCAACAGCACAAGTGGCCAACAATATAATGGGCTGCCACAGTAGAATTGTAGGCAGCAGGCTGATGGAAGTGATTACATCTCTCTATTTCCCCACTTTTGAGGTTCTATCTAGAGTACCATACCCACCTCGGGCTCTGAGTGCAAGGAATACACTGACAAACCAGAGTTCAGATGAGGCTCATCGACATTATCAGAGTGGTGGGATATATGACGCTTGTGGTGGATTTAGGCTAATTTGATTAGGCTAGAGAAGTGTAAGAAGTCACCATCTTCAACTAGTGGGAGCAACAGAAATTCACTTTTTGACTTAAGACTTGATTCTGATGGTTGCAATGGTGGCAGATTCTTCTCAGACATGTATGGCAAAAGG